AAACAAGGAGAAGAAAACAAAGGGGATTTTGAGGGTAGGTGAGATGGAGAGGGGAAGGCAAAATGGGGGTATAAAATGTAATGAGAGGCACATGGAGGGATGAAGAGAGGATATCAGAGAAGTATCTGAGAGAGAAGGACTGAAGTTGACAGAGAAATGTTCATAAAAAGGGAAGGGACAAAAGAGGGCTTGGAAAGGAAGGGTAGCAGTGGAATTACTTGGATGAAAAGGCATGACGAGGTATGAAATGTGAAAATGATAGGGAGTAACATTGAGAGAGAGGAAGAAGGGAAGAATATTTAAGGTGAAATGATATATTGGATGGGAAAGAAAGAAAGAAAGAATGAATGCTGCATAAAAATGATGTGTTGTCTGATTAAGAGTTCATGAGGGTTCTTCTTTTAACGGGGATATGCTCCTGCTTTTAGTCCACAGACCCAATAACCAGACTACAAGATATTCTTGTACTGCAATCTTTCAAGGCATATCATGGGCAAAACAGTAACACTATTAAGGGTGCCTCAGTTGCTAAGTATTATTTAATATTTTTTTAAAAAATATCAAATTTAAATCTTATTTTATATAAAGATAATTTTTTTAAAAAAAGACAATACTTATTACATATAATTCTTCATTGAATGTATTAAAAAAAACCTCATTTTATATAAAAATAATTGAAAAAGAAAGAGACAATTCTTATTACATATAAATTTTTATTAAATGTATTAAAAAATAAAAAATTAATTCTTATTTAAAAAAATAATAAAAAAATCTCAAATTCATATAAAAAAGAAAAGAAATAATGTCTTTACCTTGGGGCCCTGGTATCTCAACAAAATGGTAAACAAAAGCATGATCTATTTCCAACCTTATAGGGCACTGATTGCCCTATACATATCCTCAGTGCACATTCCCTCTTAATAATTTCAGGGAATTACTGCACTTTTCTGTACGAACAGTCTACCCTTAGCTTGGGAACGGGGACCTGGGGGACCTCTTGGTTTTACATGTCATATATATACGCATAATAATAAAACGGTTGGAGGATATATGCTTGGATCTAGCAAGTACAACTTTGAAACCGTGCCCTAAGTTCAACAGAATTCCACTATCAACAAGTCTGGCAGTCCTTGATCCTAAGAGCACGCCCCTCGAAAATAAACGCAGGAGCATTAAATGGATAGGCTTGTAGGGCCACAGTATTCTGACGTTCTTTGGTATACAGATCATCATAGAAATTAAACCCTCAATGACTATATAAGCAAGTCCCAAACCAAATTATCCGATCTTGACCCTTTATTTTCTTGAAAAAAAAACTAAGAAGGAAAGACATGACACTAGAAGCTTTTGGGGTTTGGTTAATTCTTCTTGGTTACCAGTTAGATGTTAATCCTTTGATTCAGCTTCATGTGCTTTGCAAACGGCAAAAACCGGACACCTCATTCTTAGGTAACAAAAATTAACAAAGGTTCTTTCAATCCACTTTTTGTTCTTTTCGAGCCATCTATGATGAAATGTGTTTGTCTTGTATGCTATGAAGCCAGAAGCCTGAAAAGGCTTCATACAGAATGGAAGCAACCAAAATTTTCGTGGGAAATTGCTGTTTCTTGTTACTCACTCAGGAGCATGCATAAAGCCTCATGATTACACACCAAAAGGCCAATCCTTTATATTTCAAGGGTTCCTTCTTTTCTTTTCTTTTCTTTTCTTTTCTTTTTTAAATCTCCCTGAATTCAATTTGGAAAAGGGGTCTTATTCTCTTTTTTTCTCCAATTCTTTTTTTCTGACTCATGCAGTCAGTCTCTCTCTACTTTTTCAGATTGTGTTTTTTGTTTGAATATGACGCAACCCATCATGAGGATTTCTTCCCCTTATCATGCATTCACCTTGGGTTTTGTTGCTCAATCTCTCCATGACCATGTGGGTTTGTTTTTTAATCAACTTTTTAGGTTAGCCTGAGCTGCTTACCTCATAAGAAGTGGGCTACATGTATGCAGCCGCGGGGGTACACAACCTTTTCTTTCGGGTAATCATCTTCTTTGCTCTTATTTTCTCCCCAAATCTCTAAAGCTACATCACACTATCATTCCATATCTCCCATACTAGACTGCTACCAGTCTCATTTTCCTTTTTGCTTTCCGTCATTATTTCTAAGAAAGAGACTTCTATCAGCTAACCCTATAGCCAGTTAGCCACAACCTTTTCTTTTGCCCCATTATTTTAATGAATGGTTTATTTACTAGTCTAGAATGAATTGGATCAATGAACATCAAAACTCAGAGAACTTACTAAGAATAGATGTCCTTCCCAGCCTCACGAATTAATTATACATGCATGTTACAGACATCTGAAGTTTGATGGAAGTGTTAGCTTTCAGTTATCCTAATATGCTCGTCGTAGGGTTCTAGTGTGGACCCAATATTTGATGGACTTAGGGTTTCGGATATGATGAGAATACTTGGCAGGGGCACAGTCCCAAAGTTATTACTGGATCAGATTTCTCATTCCTGTTGCTACTAGTTCAGTTTTGACTAGATTTTCAAACAGGGAGAAAATTTTGTCTTCAGGTTTTAATTTTGGTCCCTGTAAATGTAGCTGCAAATTTTGGAATTGGTTTGTTTGCAATTTACATGGGCAAACCTATGGGCTCTACCTTCCAATTCAGGATAAGTTCTCCTTTCAACTAATCACCAAGTAATCCTTTACCTCTAACCTAGTCTAAAGATGTATAGTTAAGACTGTTTAAAGATAATCCATATAGAATAATTAGCTCACAATAAAAATCTGATTACAAATCAATGATAAGCAAATTGCATCTGAAAACCTTAGACGAGGATTTTATGGTATGCGTGCTAATTAGGTACATCATATCATACAATTCCGAATATATTCGAATATCACTCAACACAGACAGATGGGTTAAGAAAAATACAGATTCTCATACCTTCAGCCAACAGGATGCCCATGCTTTGCTTACGGTACTGTAACAATGCAATCCATCAAAAACAAGCAGCTTCAAACAAGTTTGAGCTAGTCCTCCAGCCATGTTTCCAACAGGAGAACCAATTATGAATCCAATATGCAACCAATCTCTAATTTATACGAATATGAAATCAAACCAATAACTGAAATCAAGCAACCTTTCAGCTCCCAAGACTCAAATTGGTCCTTCTCTTATTTGCAGGCATTCTTCTAGTCCAGGTTGAGTAACGAGGTTCCCACTGCTCATTTGTATCTATTATTCCCCTTGCTTCTGTTTTATCCTCCCTTCTTAAGGGTTGCCTTCTCGTATGACGATCAGATCTAGGTGATTTAGACTTGACTTTTTCTGCCTCATAAGATAATGGTTCAATCCCCTGCAAGTCAGGTTCTGGAGCATACAGCATTGGCCGTTTTGATTCGTCCATTCTCCTAAATGTGATTGATATCCTAAGTTGATAACATAATGTGGAGGACGCTTAGTAAACTGAAGTAACAAGCACAAGCAGTCACAAGCATACAATAAAATCTCATAAAGTTTCAACTCATACCTCTTTGTAGAGACTGCAGGCACACAATGTTTAGCCACATCAGCACCATTTCCATTTAAAACAAGAACTGATCTGAAAGGAGTAAATGCTACTGTTAAGACTTCAAGTCTACCATGTGACTAAAACTTTGAGAAGGCAAATAATGTTGCGAGGTCAAAAAGAACAGAGCAACAGTGCATAAAAAGAATCTTACCCCATGGGGAGGGGAATGTTAATTGGACCAGCAAATTCACCAGCACTCACAGCCTTTAAATTTGACCCAAAAACAATGTTGCATTCACTAAGAAATGACACAGTACAGAATGGGCGAACAAAGTCATGGTTGTCAATGTGAGGAGGTATGCAGTCACCTTCTTCATAAATATTGACAATACAACTGTCAGGAACACAAGTTGGTGGAAGCACATGCCACCTGACAAGCCTTCTAATTATCACCTTAAAGAGATGAGGAAGAGGTTCTACAACTTCATCTTGAAGAATGCCTGGTGGGTTACCATTTTTATCCTGCCAACAGAACATAAACCCGTCTCATCTTGAGCATACTTTGCCTGGTCACCATATATTGTCTCCAGATAAAAATAAAATAGTCATCATAACAAAAACAACAGCACACAGAAAAAACCTACTACTGCATAATTGTAACAGCAACCAAATTGGAGGGTTACACGCCCTTTACCCCTCATCCACTTCTGTGGTGCTGTATATGTCCGCCCTGGAAACACATTTGGGAATACAAGTCATGTCCTTTAGATTTTAGTTCTAATGTGATATGCAACACAAACATATTATTATAATAACTGGTTATTCACAAAAGGAAAATAAAAAGTTCTACATTTATCCATCAAGGGAGAAAGAAAACATACAATGAAAGGCAGAGTGACAAATAATAATACCAAACAACCCTTCTCCAGATTCATTGGATAATAAAAGAGCATAAATACTCAAAATCTTAACAATTCAACCTATAGCCCTTAGTGCAACAAACACTTGATCAACTTAGACAGTTTTTTCAGGCCAAAGTACCACAGATATAACCATCAAAGCCTAAGCATTATAATGAATTTGACAAAAACAGAGTCAAAAAACATGGATAGAAAATGTCATCACTAGGGTCTACACAACATATAAAATTTATTCTTCTTTTCCAATAAAACAAAGTTTATAAAATTAAGCTGAGGTATTACATTGATAAGCCATAATTTGGTACCAGCATACTAGGCACAAGGTCATGAGAGAAAAACTATATGGCACAATAAGAAATGATCAGCAGTGAATGTATGCACCATTAAGTTATATCCTCACCACTTACTGAATATTACCTATGACAACAAGCAACAATACATCAAAGAAAAATTTAGCCATGGTACCCATCTTAACTCAAAATGATTTTAGACCTACACAAATAATACTGACCCAAAAAGGATTTTTACCTTTCCAATCATGAAACAATGAGACAATGAGCTATCCAAATTCAAGAGTATCTAAAGTACTTCAAACCTTCAACCAGTTAATTCTACAATTTTAAAGCTACAATGAGAAGGGAAAAGAATGCATGCCAGCTCTGTGTACATTCAATCTAATGAGGCAAGAAGTGCCTTAATGATGCTGGCATACCACCACATCAGCAAGTCTTACATTATTTTTGATTGAGAGCAACGAAAAAAAAGAATTTGATTGAGGTATGATAACAACTAGCATATGTACCATGTAAAATGCTAGATATATGCATCAATGAGATAATATACTTTATAACAACTTGATCACTAAGCAAATTGACGGACTAGATTTAGCAGTATGAGATTACAAACCTTTTAAATCTCCTTTTCTCCCCATCTCTTGAAGCGTATTAATATGGGCAATTATCCTCTTCTGCTCAGCAGCACTGAAAATTCCGGTATGAAGTTCAAGTCCCTCAAGAATGTTAACAAGTTTTCCTCCTACTCTCTCAAAACAAATAAAATCTTTATTCCTCTTCACATTCGTAAACCGAATGTGCTCTCTCTGATCCCTAGGCAGCTTAGGCTTCTCCACGACCTTAGATACCCTCAACTCTCCTGTGGAAGAGTTTACATCAACAACACGCTTAGTCGCTTCGCATTGTTCTTCTTCTTCTTCCTCAAGCTCATCTTCCTGAGCCATGTCTGCCCAAGATAGACGAGGAACTGGAGATTCAACCAAAGTTGAGTCACCAGTTACTCCACTGGTGGAGGCCTCTGACTTGGGTTCAGACCACCCATTTGCCCCATCTTTCCAACTACCCAATGAGTTTGTGTCTGCCCCATCTTTTGAACTTGCAATCGAATCTGCATCACAAATATCATCACAATTCTCATTCAGGTTTGCTAAATCCACGTTACTGGTGGTAGAAGTGGTTGCATTAGCATCTGAATTTGAAGGTTCTGCATCAACACATGAATTCTTATTAGAGTAAATTTATCTGGCAAAAAAAAAAAAAAGAGAAAAAGGAAAAGCTCTAACTAAGCACAAAAAAAGAAAGAATTGGATTTTGGGAAAACAGTCAGCTAGATTAATTACTAAAGCCTAATTTCGTCTATGAAACATAATTCAACGCAAAAAACTAAAATCTAATGCCAGGGAGAAAAGAATGAAGAAGAAATATATTGGCAACAAGGATTACAACCATCAACCACACAACATCTAACCTAACCGAACATATATCGACGCAATTCTAAGCTGAAACTTTGAAAATCGCCGATTCAGAAACAAATTTTCTTGCTAAATTTCCAAAATTCCAGGAGAAAAACCTGAGGGAAAGTACAAGTACCTGTTTCGAGAGAGCGGATGCGCCTGGAGAGCTTTTCAGCGCACTGTTCGCAAAGATCTCTGGATAGGAAAGGAAGCCACGTCGTCAAGAACTCCGACGCGATCTTCAGATCCGACGGCTGGTACTGGACGAGAAACGGATCATCCGATTTGACTCGCTCGAGATCGTTCATTGCTTCACCCTGCTCCGCTTCGCCCTGCTCCGCTGATCCTTGACTCGGCGACATCGTCTCAGTGATGGGTCGTCGTTGATGCTCCACAAGGAGAGACAGAAAAAGGAGTTTGCTGGAGTGGAAAGTCGGACTGACTTTCGTGACTCCGAATCTTCGGATACTAGTGTAATTAGCAAGAGTAACGGAGGGTATTATCGGTAATAAGGGCATACCGAATCTTGGGCCCATGTAAATAAATCGGCCCATTTATTCAAAGAAATTGCTACGGCTGGACGCTTCGTTTTGTAATTAAACTTTTTTTTAAAAAATTTTTATTATATACCAATTTCACTTATAATATCATAAGAATTTATTAATTAAATGTGATAAGTTAATAATATGAAATTAATATGTATTAATTTTTATTTTTTTTAAAAAATTATGGTATTAATTTAAATTTAAAAATTAAAAATTTTAATTCAATAATAAAATAATATTAAATATTAATATTTAATAATTTTTTTAAAATTTTAAATTAAATTTTAATAAAATAAAATAAAATAATTTAATATTTTAATATTTTTTAGAGTCCTGTTATATATTTTTTTTCTAATAATATTACTTAAAATTGTAACTATATATATTTATTGATTTAATTTAATTTTATATTATATTAGTTTAATATCGTAACTTCGTAAGTAAGTTAATAATGCTACGTAACAATTAAGGTAACGTAATATTTCTTTATTGACGTGGCACGATACAATTGGACCATCGAAAAATTGAAAAAAGAAGGGAGATACAAAAGGATAAGCTCATCCGAACTCCGGGACTGCTTCTCCGACGAAATGGACGTTCTTCAGTCTCTCTCTTCAAAATCATTCCTCGTGAGAGCTTCGCCGTCGACACCGCTGCATGTTCCTGTCTGCTTGCTTCGCTTTCGGCAGTCGGTGAAAATCCGTTGCGCCGACAGTAGTAACAGTGGCGGCGACAAGACACAGCCGCGTGTTGTGCCGCCTATTACGCCTCCGGATACTGTTGAAATACGGTTTAAGAGAGGCTCGAAGAAGCGGAGGCAGTTGAGAGAGGATGGATTTGGGGAAGGACAGCCGTTGAGGGCGCAGGCGTCTCAGCCGACTCCAAAGAAATGGGAGGAGATGAGCGTGGCGGAGAAGGCGATGGAGTTGTACATGGGAGAGAAGGGGCTGCTCTTCTGGCTTAACAAGTTTGCGTACGCTTCCATTTTCATTATGATTGGAGCTTGGATAGTTTTCCGGTTTGTTGGACCTGCTCTCAATCTTTATCAACTGGACTCTCCTCCTCTATCTCCCTCGTCTGTGTTTAAGGGTTCATGATTCCATATCCGCCATGCAAATTTTGGAAGGTTGTTTTTTTACAGTTTGCAGAGATATTGTAGCATCAACTACACATTAATGGGTAGTCTTAAGTAATGATATTTATCAATTTTGTTATCACTTCGATCCCATGTTCACCTTGAAGACATATTCTCAATCACATAAAGATAAATTTTTTAGAGATAGAAGGAATAACTCGATGCCGTATCAATTGCCAGCTAAAATGAACTCAAAGCTACCTTTTATACAAGAAATGGAAATCAAAACCATATGATTTACTATCAAAGCATCACTAAAACTCTCTATCTGGTATAAAATTTCTATCTTGTAACTGACCTGCACTTCTTTCAACCGTATGACATATAACAGAACTGAAGGTGAAACTCAGCAAGGTGCTTGAATAACCTATGACAATCTAAAGCCTTCCTCTGTACCAAAAATCTGGAGACCTCACGCATTTAATGGCTAAGTAATGATATTTCTCTCTGTCTTGCACCTGCAAAAGGAAAGATAATCACTGAAGCTCTATATTCCCCCAGAATAAAGCAGTTTCATTCTCCAACATAATTGATTCAGATTTCAGAATCCTAGTTTACTTGAGTAGGAAAGGTTAACTTCGATACCAACCTATTGCATTGAGCTCGAGATGCATAATTGTGATTGTTGCACTTCGTGCACATCCAATCTCCATTACGCCATTGCTTTGCCCTGTTAAGTGAAGGATATAGACATATTACTAAAAAAGAATCATTAATTTACACGTGATAGAGCACATGAATACAATCCAGAATCCAGAATTTACCCTTTCCCTATAAGTGTTGGGATCATAGCTTGATGTGGAAATGGCATGGTTGCCTGCCAATTGGGGGCTACACCAGAGCTTACACTGGGATAGGGAGCTAATATTGCTAGTTTGGGCTCAGCTGAGGTCCCTATTGCTTGGTTAACTCCTGGAAATGGTTGCTCCTGTCCAGTAGCCTGCACATTCAGCCAGAGCAGGGAACATTAGTTCAGGCAGGTTTCTAATATTCACAGCAAGTTAGAGAAACTGACATAATTTTTATAATGCCACATCATAAAAGTGATTCCTTACAGGTCCTGAATTCAATCTTTTGTTATCCCAGTCATGCACAGGCTCTTCAGATGCTAACCTCTTGGTCCCAATTGCTGCAATGCCCCAGAGGACGCAGTAAGGAGATGAAAAGAATCAGTTACAGGTTTGCAGTACATGAAACTCAGCCATTAAACAAACATGCATGAAGGCAATTACAAAGATATATGAATATCACAGTAGCTGAGTATAAGCATCAGAACAAGATAACAACATTAATTCTTTGTGGTTGAGAATTGAAATCACCTGGTGGCATAGAAGCATTGCAATTTTTGCACTGCAAAGAAAACCAAAAACGACGGAATGCATAATGAGATATGATATCTTATTAAATTTTCCACATGTTAGAAATAGAATGTCAAAAGTCAAAACCAGTTTAGGCAATATGACCAGACCTGGGAACGTGAAGAGTAATTATGGAAGCCACAATTGCATATCCAGTCACCATTTCTCCATCCTTTGGGAACAGAAAGAGGCTGGTTAGCAGGACTCACATATGGAAGCCCAGAACTTTGGACTCTGCCAATAGGCCAATTAGAAGTTGACAGACTTCCATACTTAGCAGTCTCTTTGTATACATGCCAGTTGGAGCTCAAGGGAACTGACTGCTCGGGAGCACCATTGCCAGTGAACCCGAGAGTCATATTTTGTTCTGGTGCTCCTGAGACACTGGCAAAATAGTGTGAAAAAGTTGGAAGAGAAGCTCCAGGCATTGCAATCGCTGGCATAGCTGCTACCTCCTTTGGTTGCCCACACTTTTTGCACTTTTCTCTTGATGCATAATTGTTGTTAGTGCAACCTATTGATCCATTGCCACACACACCCACCCACAATGCAGCCACGAAGAGGAAAGGAAGCCAAGCACATGCACACCAACCATTTCAAACCATACCAAATAACACATAGAAAAAACACAAACCACTCAACAAGAAACATTACTTCCTAATCTGAATGCAAAAAGGTAAACATCTTGCAATGTTGGAATGCTGGTAGCATTTATAAACAAACAACAAGAAACATAATATGCTTTTTCCTCATGCATTACTTCTCTTTAATTCAAAAGAAAAGACATGTCATAATAAAGACAGAATCTGCAATTCTCCATAAATGTGTTATGTATAACCTTTTATACTCTTGAATAACCAAAATGACAACAATTAAATTCCAAAATTCGCCTTAAATTCCTTTTGAAGTAATTATAGATGCTTAACAGAGGCCATGGACCATTCATGGCAAACCTTAAATTGTAATTAAAATCTAAACTCAAACCATTACATCCTTCATTGAATATCACAAGACCTCTCAGACAAAATCCGCGTTTGAAACCAAACCCCTTCCCCACAACTTACATAAATATACTCCAAAACCCACAATTCTTATTCCTAGCAGCCAAATGGATTCCACTCCAAAATCAAAATCATCCTATTTTTATGTGCAAAATAAGACCCACTTAAACCTTAACTCACACCAGATGACCAGAGTAATAAAACTTAAGAGAAGGAATGCATTGGAATCAACATGGCCGAGAAACCCTAACAGACAAAACAACCTGAGAGCACACAAAGCACAGAGATAATACCCATGAATAAAAGCAGAGATTTTGATGAAGAAAACTAACCGGTGCAGATCCAATCGCCGATACGAGGAAGCCACTTGGAATCAGCCGGAGTCTTTGTGTCGACGAGAAGACGGGGCTGCTTGCATCTATTACAGAAAGATCGAAAAGCATAATTCCTATTCTTACATCCACTGCATTCCCAGTCTCCCTCCCTTCCTTCCCCCATGATTTTTTTTTGTCCCTTTCACAATCTACAGAGGATTACAATGTTAGAAGTTAACAAAGTTACGAACTTGTCGGTTCCAACAATGACATCCCGGCGTCAGCAAGACAGAACTCAGAGAACTGGCAGATGTCGAAGGTGGATACTGTCCCAGATACAGAAAGAAATAACAAAAAATTAAAACTTAAAAACTTCTCCTATTTATCCCCACGGATAATGGATTGAGCTGACCTATAAAGAAGAAGAATGGCCCAGTCACACGGGCCCAGACCAATCAGGCCGGTGTCTTCTTGGGCTAGCGATTTAAGACTAATTCCACATATAGCCCACATTGATTTATTTAGTATTTACCTCTCTGTTTTCTGGCCCAAAAAAATAAGGATGAGCAATGACCAATGAGAGTGATTATCACCTATAAAAGTGTTAAGATTACTAAAATTATATTAGAAAAATACTGATTTTACTTGATTTAGTTATTAAACATAGTTAATAGTTGATAGAATAATTAATATTTATTACTTAATAAATTAAAATTAGTTTATAAATTTATTTTTTTAGATATTATAATTATCTGTTTAAGAAAAATATTATAAAATTAGTCAAATTAAATGCAAAGTTAGTAACCATAAGGGTGGTGCTATAGGAACAATTTTTTTATATAATTTTTACATATCATTAAATAAATATATGTATTTAAATATATACCTACACCTCAGCACAAATTAAATGGTTAACCCACCTTATTGGGTTGATTGTTTGCCACCAGACCTTGGTCCTTTGCCGTATGTGGATGTAAACTTTGATTCTTTATATAATACATATGTATCCAGCTATGATAGTCAAAATAGCTGTGCACCCCTTACTCCTACCTAAAAGAATTGTGGCAATAAGTTACAAAAGTGCAATTTATAAGAGTAAAGTTACAAAAAGTGTTGGACAACTAAAGGTAATCCATTATTTTATAATTTATATCGTAAAATATTGGTCACTGCATTGAACAGTCTGCACCCA